GCCCGGGGGGGGGGCGTGCTCGTGGCCCGCTTTCGCTCCTGCTACAACAACTTGCACTGCACAAACCGAGACCGGGCGGATCGATGTTGAGACGGCCTGTCCCCGATGAGATGTCACAGCCGCTCCGTTCAACATCAGAATATCCCTTACGGTGTCCCGGCTGCTCCCGGGCTTGCTGCAGCCTGAAGATGATCCGTTTTCCAGCCCGTTGAGAGCATGTTGTTAGTTGTGCTTCTCCGTTGGTTTCTCCCTCTCTACCAGCTCGGGATTAAGCTTTACAGCCTCGCTGGCTTTGCTGCGCCTGCCACCCCTTGTTCATTTCGGAGGTGGCAAATCTCACCGCGGGCTGATGATGCCGGCTGCGGCTCTGTCAGAGCACTTCCCCGCCTGCCTCCCCTCCTCCGTGGGAGATCCCCACGTGTCACAGAGCAACTACATTATCCTCCTCCAAATCCCTCTTCTGCTGTGACATCTGCAGAACACTTGACTGAGATTAGTCTGTCATGCGGAGGCTCTTACCCCCCCGCTGACCTGTGCTTCCCCTTCTGCGGCTGCTTTTGGCTGTGTTTCTTCCCTGCTTGTGCAGCCGGCAGCGGCACGGGGCGCCAGGCCGGGGCTGGCACTCCCAGGCTCCGGGGTTGCGGTGAAACCGGAGTTCTGGGAGGAACGTCGGACACAAGTAGTTCCTCGCTCTTTCTGCTCAGGCGCTAACTTTTCCATCACAGCTTTCTTGCTTGCGCACTGCCCTCTCCAATAGCGTTTCCAACACCTTCTGTGTTTCCAACACCTTCCACATTTCCCTGAAAAGGATTTTTCACTGAATCCTTATTATTATTTTGAGAGGTATCAATGAAGCTAAAGATTTTATAACTTCTTGGCGCAGCGTCCAGCTGCGGAGCTGGCGAGGTCGCCAGCTCAGCGCGAGAGGATCGGAGTTCTCCCAGATACATCACAAAGTCCTGCCTGGACTGCTCTTTGGTGCCTATTTTTTTTTTTATTGAAAGCAATAATTAGTGCTTTTGTCCCAGGCAGACAGCCGTGTAATGCCCTGAGCATGATCCGAGTGTTGTCCCTCAGGCCATTGTACACTTGGCCCCAGTGATGTGTGTTTCCTTCATGCCGCCCTACTTGAATTTCCTGCTTCCTCCTCACTTGGCAGCGAGTGCCCTTGGATCAACACAAGTGTGCTGTGACAGCGAATGCAGACCGCTGTTCAAACAAGGGAACAGCAAGGAGCGGTGTTGCCTTGCCACGGCGTTCGGCATCAATGAAGCACAACTGAAATAGCCTCCAGCTCTGCTGTCAGGTCTTCGGGAGGATGCTGCAAGTTTGGCAGGGACTCAGAATCAATTTTTGAGCAGAATCAGTTAGGAAGCTGGAAAACTGAACGTGACGCTGGGATAGATTTGAGGTGCTCAGGCTGCTTAGTGTTGAGATGGCTCGATCGTGGTGTTCTCGGTGCGTGTGCAGGGAGAGGGTTCAATGAAGGGCTGCTTTACCAAGGCCAAATGAGATCTGGTTACCCAAAGCTGGGGCGTGTCAAACTCAAACTGGAAACGAGCTGCAGATTTCACTGAGTTAACCATTGGAACCCTTCATCTTGGGATGGTTGGATGGGATTGCCTGAAATCTTTGTTTAGGTTTGAGGATATTTCTGTGAGAAATGTTTTAGTTTGACTGCAGAGATCAGTCAGTGGCAGGATTGTCTTGATGATGCTTCTGACTTGGGTTATGCCCAGAATCCGACCCAATGTTTGTGAGTAGCCATGCCTGGGCTTAATGGTTTCAGGTCCCCGCTTAAAAATGCAAGATGATTTCAGTTGCTGTGAGCTAACTATCTTCTCTCTCCTTTTGAGGTGTCAAGGGTTGTTTTTCCAGTAATTTGGACCTTTTTGAAGTGCCCGCTTGCCTAATGCCATGAATATTGCAGTGAACAATGTGGAAGAAAAAGCTGTCCATTCCTGGTCGAGAATTTCCTCTGCAGGACAGAAAGTGCTGGAGGAAGCCCTCCGAGTCTTCAACCCGATGTCCAAGGACCTTTCGGACACAGAGACCCAGCTGGTGGCCTTCATTCAGGGCCTGAAGGAGGAGGGCTACCAGCCCACAATTCTGAGGAGTAAGGATGTGTACGGGTACAGCTCGTGCACGGCAGACACACCTAGCCAAACAAAAGACAGCACCCCGCACAACTGCGCCGCTGCCGCCGAGTCCGCTAAGAGTCCGGCTCGAAACACTGCAGCTGCGGCAAAGGTGTCTGCTTCGCCCACCAGCGTTTCGGTGGACTCTTCGAAAGTCTCCGCTCAGCCCGTCTCTAAAGGGGATTCCACAAATCTCCTCTTGAGCTCCTTGAAGCAGACAAGATCTGGCACGTCCAAGGCCGCGGCGGTGGGCTTCCCTACAAGCATGTATCCTGACGTGTATCCAGCCATGAGACTGTCGGTGGTTCTGGAAGCTCTGGTGCCGCTGAAAACTACCGCGTCCCGTTTGGAGTCCAAGTACACACGAGGGCGTCTTGGGATCTCGCCCTCGGACCTTAAACTCCTCAAGGCTTCGAGTCCGCCGAGGCAGTTTTCTTCAGGCAAGGCCGCTAAAATAACAGAAGGTAAGGGGTACAAGCGTTTGATAAAGAAAGCACCGGATTCTGCCACCCTCGCTTTAAATCTTCTGAAGGGACCAAAGGGTGGAGTGCTGCAGGAGAGCAATGCTTGCAAAGCCTCGGGAGTCCTCAATGGGAGAGTCACAGGCAGCTCGTCCCAGGGCTGCACCACAGCACAGCAGTCCAAGACCTTGAAAATCAAAAATAAGGAACCTCTGGTGGGAAAAACAGAGTGGAAGGACAGCAGCACTTACCGGGAGAGTGCTGGGCAGAAGAGGAGAAGAGCTACGGAGGCAAGAGAAGCACCACAGAGGAAGAGAGCAAATACCATTCCTGTCCGAAATAAATCTCGACGGGCTCAGAGCACTTTGAACCTGCTGAAATTCCGGGCCATCAAGGTGGGCAACTCTTCCTCTGACGAAGAAGTGAGGAGGAGAGCACAGAAGATTCTTAGGGTCAACCTGTCCCCCGTGATCCGAATTCAGCCCTTGTCCCACTCTCACAGTGTTCCCTGAGTTTCTTCGCTCTGTCACTTTTTTTTGTAAGTAAGTAAATACGAGCCCGGCACCAGAGCGTGGAGAAGTTTAAGAGCGACTCTGGATCTCTGGTGCCTGGTGACGATATGTCGACTAACCTGCAGACGGAGCAGCCTGCTCTCGCGCTGCTTCTGCCTGTCTACCACTGCTATGCAGAACTGACTGCAGAAATACAAAATCCTGTTCAGGAACGTGGGACGGTGACTCACCCGCGGCGAGCCGAGCGGGTCGGAGGGCTCGCTTCCCGCGGGCGCTCTTCTGAACGTGGCAGGCTGCGCTCTCGTGCAGGGGGAGAACACGGGCCTTTCTCATGACATTGATGCACTGTGATATTGCTCTTTTTCAAGCTGTACATTTACTGGTTTTATTTTGATCAAATTTTATAACTTTATTATCTATATATCTATATATCCATATATGTGCATATCACCTAGGAACTGTGGGAAGATGCACTTCCTCCATCCCTCTGGGACTGGGTTCGATAGCTTTTGTTCCCCCTCTCCTTCAGCCAGTCTTTTGTTGAAAGGTGCCAGGATTTCTTTGTGGTTCAGTGTTGTGACTGTCTGTTCTGGGCTCTCTTGAGCAGCTCAGAGGCAGGCAGAGTTATAGCCACTTGTTTGTCTCCAGAAACGCCAAGCAATTTGGAGAATTACCAGCTGATAGTTGACTATAGTTTTAATAATATTTTCGGTATTACCTCTGCATAAGAGTGGGGGAGTGTTATGGGGCTGTTGCCTCCAAGTCTGCCTGACATCTGTAGGTGCCTCCTCCGTTTGTTGGTAGCAGAAGCTCTGAACTCATGGTAGGGGTTTGCCTCCAAAGAGCGG